ATGTTAGCAAATCTAAACACAATATAATATTAAATGCAAAGTAAATAAATACTAAAAAATATCAAAACTAAGGATGAATGTGAATATATACAACTAGGATTTAACTAAGCATTACTAGTCTTAAATAGGAAGATTAAATATGGAAGACTGAATGTAAATGTGCAAAAACAGAGTTGTAAATGGACAGTATTGACATAAGTTAAAGTGCATGAGTGTAGACATATTATCAGCAGAAACTAGACAATATAACGGCGAGTAGACAGCCAAATGAAGTGAACATGAGTGCAGGGATAATTTGTAAATTTAACATATGGAGAGACAGATATTATCATGATGACAGTTCTCTGCTCGCATGAGGTGAGCTGTTGTGCAGAGTCATGGCCTTCGGTAAGAAAGATTTCTTGTATCTGTCCTTGTGACTGCAGAGTTGTGTCAGTCTGTTGGAGAAGCTGCTCCGCTGTTTGTCCAGTAGGGTGTGCAGAGGGTGACCAGGATTATCCATAATGGATAACAGTTTGTTCAGAGTCCTCCTCTCTGTCACCACTACTAAAGAGTCCAGCTTGCAGCCTACCTTCTACCTGTTAACTGTGTGCCACTTGCTCGTGTGTGTGTGTGTACCTCTCACGCTGTACAAACACTACATTCAGTTAATCGTCGTTTAACTACATACATCTGGACCCAGCCATTTCCCCCTTAAGTGACATATTTTTAAAATCTTAAAATTATCCACAAATGCACTTACAATTGGAACTGTCTATGGGTGGGTTGAATACAAATAAAAATACATTTTCTTTGTATTTTTTAATAAATTTTCCATCAAATATCCTACCCCTAATGTTTCCAGTGAGCCTATCACATGAATTTATAGGCTATTCATAGTCTCTATATATTTTTTCAGTTGTCTCATTGTTAAGAAGATTTAAGATTCAAGATTCATGATTTTTGTGTCACATACTCATACAGATGTGCAATGAAATGTAAAGACTGTTCCGCAAGGCCATGCAATAAATCTCAAATTACTAATACACATATATACAGTAAAATATAATATAATGTAAAATTTTAAAAATAAATATTTGAATATACAAAATATAGAATAATGTAAACAGTGTAAAGTGTCAGTGTGTAAAGTGTCCAGGGTGTCAAAGTGCAATGTGCAGATTGGAATGTGTGGTGTGTGTGCATCATGTAATCACAGTTCTGTTTATGTTTTTAACTGAGGAGAGTGGAGTTAACAGTCCGGACAGCCTGAGGAATGCGCCTGCCAGAGGCGTAAACAGTCCGTTACCTGGGTGGTGGGGATCACTCATGATCCTGTTTGCCCTGGCTGTGCTCCTCCTTGTGAAGATGTCCTGGAGGGTGGGGAGTGTTGTACCCATGGTACGCTCTGCTGACTTCAGCACCCTCTGCAGGGCTCTTCGGTCATGTACAGTGCTGTTCCCGTACCACTGGGTGATGTTTCCAGTCAGCATATTCTCCACCGCTCCGGAATAAAAAGTCTTCAGAACCTTCACAGAGACTTTGAATTTCCTCAGCTGTCTGAGGTTATAGAGGCGCTACCTCCCTCACCTGACTGTCTATATGGGTTGTCCATGTTAAATCCTCAGAGATGTGCACCCCCAAGTACTTGAAGCCGCACACCCTGTCCACCAGCGTCCCATCAATTCTCAGTGGGGTGTAATCCATCTGCTGTCCTCTGCTGAAGTCCACAATCAGATATGAAAGATATGAATAAAGCCATGCTAAGACGAGACAAGTTAGCCTGTAAGGAAAACTGGTGTCGAAGTTGCTGTGGGGTACTAAGTATAAAAAGGTGCATAGAAAATAAATACAATTCTCAGCAAAGGAATATGAATAATATGCAAAAACAAATGTACACAATGCCATGAATTGAACATGTAAACAGCTAAACAATATAGCCTCTTTCTAGGAATGCTTTATGCTGAAGGTTAAGCCACAGTTTAATCATGTTCTCCACATTAGTTGTAGATTTCAGTTTGCTTCCCTATTGCTACGTAGGATAGGAATATTATCAGTGGAGTTATTTGACCCAAATTTCTTGACAATAAATCCAGCAATTGTTGAGACATTCAAAACCACATTTGGTGGAAAAGGAAACTTGAAGAGATCCCCAAACTATTTTGGATACATAGGAGAGCCTAAAACTTTGTTTTAATAATTAATTTATTGATGTTGATGTTATTGACTTTAAAGTGATTGTTTATGCATGTTGTGGTCCGTGATGTCTCTAAATCACCTGAACGAAACTTCTTTATCTTCCATCTCTTACGACCTCATACTGTAATCCTTGACCTGAATTAGATGTGATTTATGGTGACAGTATGCAACATGAACACTCCAATGTAATGCATGCTTACCATCATCACTGCAAACTGTCTGTTCCACTTGGCAAGATTTGTCAGACTCAGTAGAAAGAAACACTGACAGCTGATCAATACATCCTGAGTTAAAAAGTAGCAACAGGTGTGTTCCACAGTCACACAATCTTTGTGCTCTATGCACCACCGAGGCAAGGAGAGAGAGCGAGTGAGAGAAAGAGAGGGAGCTGTTGACTCAGGTCTCGTAAAAGTTTTGGATGATGCTAGTTTGAAACTTCTCTGTTGCCAAGCAACCCAAACATTCTCTTGTTTGATTCAGACCTGATAAGAACTAAATACAAAGGATGGCGCACACAGACACAGATGAGAAGCTGTGTGAAAGTTCAAACATAGCCTAGTTTGATCATAATTTTTAATATAGGACAGGGTTTACGCAATACTAACAATTTGTGTTGCACCACCTGCGATAGTTCCAACATCGGCTTAAGTTGCAATTTCTATTTTACGCCTAGCCAGTTTAGGTGTCCTCTGTAAATCATGGTTGTCTTAGTGTATTGTTTGAATGATGGGATAATCTGGTGGTTGAGGAGGAGGGTTTAACTGCTGTTCAGTGTTGTCTATGGGTCCTCTGCGAGATTACATCCCTTAGAAATGCATGATGACTGTTTTTATTCCCTCTTTTGTTTTATATTAGCTGAGATAACTGAATCTGTCCTTTTATAGAGTACTGTTAAATAACCTTATGTTGTAGTTGACAGTTTCTCCACTCCTTGTCAGTGTTGTTATTTCACACTCGGATTAAGGGTGTTAAAAGCATTAATGACAAAGGCTATTTAATAATTTACCTTTGTTGCTGTTTGTGGATTAAGGGCATTTAACAAATGTTTTTTTCAGCTGTTAGTGTGTTAGGAGGAAGGCAGCACTGTACCAAACACTTCATTAAGACAAACGATTTTCTCTGATCAGTCACACAAAGTTAAAAAGTAATTTCTGTGACAATATTTTGATTAGCTAGGACGTTGTACTCTACTGAAGATGAACCTTGTGTGGTGCAACCAAACAATGACACAACTTAAGTAATGTACATTCAACATTTTAGAGAGTCTTCAACAGTACAAAGCTCATTTTCTATGCATGCTTTCCTCATCCTGTCAATGTAGCCTATCTTAGGACTTTCAATACAACCTACCTTTAACCTGCAAACAAGCTGACCAGACTGATTCAGCTGAACCAATACCTTGTTCTCCTAATCACAGTCCTTTTTGAAATTCTCTAAAAGCACTGATAAAAGTGACATTAAAGATTAATGAAAAAAGAACATCAGGTTTCTGAGTGTGGTCAGGCACATTGTTTTCATTTACCATAGGTAGAACTGGCTTAGTATCTGAAAGTATATTTTAGCATATTGTTTCCATTTAACACAACCCTTTTGTACCTAGGGAAACATAGTTGGATGAGATTAAAAAAAAAACACTTATTGTATTCACTTACGTACATGGCAGGATTAAGATGGGAGGATTGACACCACTAGCTAAACTAGTCCACTCCAAACTAATCAAAAATAGTGTCACTAAATACAGAGCTACAATGAATTTGACTGGAAACAGTGAACGCAGCCACCTGGCTCTGTCCAACAGGACTGACTTTAAAAGATTTTAGTGAATTTTGGAACATTAGGCTCCAACCAGGCTAGCTCTTTCTGTGTTTTTAGCTAAACTTATCCACTGGAGTCTGCTATATATTTAGAGACAAGCTTGGTAATTTCCAAACAATGCTAAACTAATAGCCTGCTTATTGAAATGACCAAGCTAAAACTGATGCCCCTATCTATGTAAAGTGATTGGACTTAGTGTTTAGAAACATCTCTGTGTATGAAGCAATACAATGTAATAAAACCACAAAGAACCTAAATCCTCAAAGTACAAGTTTAAAAATAACAAGCTAACTTGTTTTGGTTTCCATAGTTTGAGCAAGTAGTTCTTAACACACTTGCTGCTTTAGATGTTTTTTTTTTTTTTTTTAAATATACATTCATCTATATTAAAAAAGGCCCTGCTCCTAATAATAGAAGTCTGTAGGCCTATATAAAGTGAGTAAAGGCAAAGTAAATGTAACCTGAGTTGTGTTGAGCAGTACAATGAAACAACAAGTGTGGTTGAAAGGTTTTCATGTGTGTATTTAGTAATGCTAATGTCCTGGTACTCCACATTTATCATCTCAGGTCCCATCAGTACTTAATCAACATAGGAGAGCACTCATTGTTTTACAAATCACAAACTGACCATCCTTGAAATGCCCCTTCCTTTGGTTTCCTGCTCTGTGATTGCTCAATGTTGTAATTTTTTTTTTTTTTTTTGAAATCTTCAGAATGTTTGAGAGAGTTTGTGTTTCCCTTTCTTTCCCCTCTTTACTACCTCTCAGGGGAATGTAGGAAAGTTTTTATAGGCTTCAGTAGGCTCTCCACTATTTGTGTGCGCTCTCAATCTTCTCTCTCTGTCTGTCTCCCCTCCCCCCACTCTCCCGTGTGTGATCACTGTTCTTACCTTACCTGTGTGTTGTGCAGACACACCCTGACCTATCCGTGTCAGCCAATCGTGGCTCAAAAGACAGAGAAACCAAGGAGGTGTACTTCCTGTGTTATGTGAGAGAAGAATGGGGCAGGAGAAAGGAGAGAATAAACTTTTTTAAGTATTTGTCATCGGAGAGGGGGGGGGGGGTCCACACAGTCAGCAGCAAGAGGGGACGGAAAAGGACTTAAGTAGTGGAGTCAAAATACTTTAGCTTGATTTATCTGCCTTCAGTTCACTGTTCACCTACTGCGACTGAGAGGAGAAGGCAGAGAGAAAGGAGGAGGAGAAAGATAAGTGTCAATCTGTTCAGACTTGTTTGGGAATTTGAGGAAGGAGGGGAGAGAGAGGCAGCAAGAGTGAAAAGCAAGGAGAGCTCAGGCATAAACATTACGTTTCGTAACAAGAGTTGAAGTATTGTTAGAAAAAGAAAAAGGAAGTTTGGAATTAGTTGGGAAAAGGAGGACAATTTGCTGTGTCATGTAGATTCCAATGTGAATGCAGGGAATACATTCTTGTGAGTTGCGCAATCCTATGCTTATTTGAACTGGACCCGGGGAAGATAGGAGATCTCCTTCTGTTCAGGTAAGTTGCTTTATAATATCATTCATGGATTTCTGATTAGCACACAAGCTATGTAGATTGCCTCTGGTGTGGACACAGACCTAGATCCAGCTTAGTTGTGGCTTACATGTTACATGCCGTGCCTATGTGTCACAGGCCCTCACTTTCTGAAAGGCTTCTTTTGGTATGTGGTGCTTTGCAGGTCTGTGCTGCATTCTTGTAGATCTGTACTAGGGATTTTTTTCAGGCCTACATCTTACTTTTGTACTATTAAGTTACTGTACAACCAGATCCACCTTTCATTTTCACACTGCCTTTGGATCCAAAGTTCAAGTGCGAAGATGAGCATATTGGATGACATTAAAAAAAATACACTAAAAGGCTGAAATGCTCAATTGTTTAACATTTTTATAGAAGTAACTTTAGTAATATGAAATGAGATAATGTAAGATATATATTAATTAATCCCAAAACAAGTTCTGTTACCAGGTATGTCCAACTTTACAGTGCAAAAAAAGTGTAATGCAAAACAGCGTCAAATACACATTGAATACAAAAAACATCAAGGTTCTAAAAAAATATTAAAGGGACGACCGTTTAATTAAAAAAAATCAAGCTAAGAAAGGGGATAAATAGAAGTTTAAGTCTGAAGTATGATATGTAGTTTTGAAATGTGTTACCAATACCAGAATCTTCTCATTCTGCTTTACTTTACCCCTAAAACAAGACAGACAGACTGTCTGGTTTCTAACTGGGTGAAATGTGTTGTTTTTGTCTTCTAGGGTCTCCAAAATATGACACTATGGGGACCAAAAGGCCCAGCTGCACCCTCTTTGACACATCTAACATAAACACATCAGACCACAAGCTCCAGCCCGGTAGGAAAGTCTCCCGTGATCCGAGTCCCAGACTGGCGATGACCGCCCGGTCGGAGCGAGAGAGGGAACGAGAAGAGGACTGGAAGAGAGAGAGACATGCAGAGAAAACGAGGGACAAGCAGAGATATAAAGAATCTGACCAACGAGAGAGATATTACGACAGAGACCGAGCTCCTGCGCCCAGGCCGAGAGAGAGGGAGGGAGACAGGAGACAAGCAGATGACAGGAGAGGACATGGGAGGCCGCTGTCAAATTTAGAGTGGGAGTCTAGGAAAGGAGACGAGAGGGGGATGAAGAAAGGCGACACGTTTCCCAGAATGAGAAAAAGCAGCCCAGATAATGGAAGAAGAATGACATCCTCAACAGAGATGAATGAAAGAGGGGAGCGAAGGCAGAGAGAGAGGCCTAAAAGAATGGATGGAGACGAATGGGAGAGGGAGAGAGAGAGAGCATGGCAGAGAGACAGAGACAGAGAAAGAGATGAGATTCATGACAGGGTGAGGGAAGATGGACGGAGACCTATTGAAGCGGAGAAGTCCCGGCCAAGGCAAAGATTTCAGGAGTCTGGTGTTCAGGACAGGAGGAGAGATGTGGGTGATACATGGAGCAGAAGAGAGAGGGATGAAGGCAGAAAAAGAGAAAAGCCTTGGCCTGATGTGGGAAACAAGGAAACCAGAAGACCTTCTCCGAATAGAAGAAGAGAAAGAGACATTTACCCAGAAAGGAATGAGAGAGAAAAGGCACAAAATGAGAATAAGAGAGACATAAGGAGTGAAGGAGACAGCGATGAGAGAGAGCTAAGGAGGGAGATAGTGAGGGACAGAGAGAGGGAGGAGTTGACATATCAAGAAAGCAGGAGTGAGGGGGACAACAAGGGCAGAAAGGAGAGGGGGAAATACAGGGAAGAGGACGAGCATAGATACAGAGACAGAGAGGCGGATCAATCGAGGAGAAGGAGAGTGGAGAAAGAGAGGGAGAGGTACAGAGAGGCAGACAGAGGGAAAGAAAGATGGAGGGATGACAGAAACAGAGAGTATGAGCAGAGGAGGAGCAGAGAAACAAAAGACAGACAAGCAGATCCAAGGAGGGACGATACGACAGGCAGGAGAAGCCAAGCCCAGAAAGAGACAGCTCCTAGGGTGCCTCCGCGAGCCCAGAGCAGCGGCGAGTTGAGCAGCGACATGGACAGCAGCGAGGTGAGACATAGAAGAGGCCGAGACAGCTGTGATGAGAGGGAACCAGAGAGAGAAAGTGAAAGAGCTGTAGAAGAACAGAGACACTCAGAGAGAAGTCAAAAGGAGCAAACGAGAAGTGAGCGAGGGGAGACGACGGAGCAGAGGAGGATGTGGTTAGAGCCGCAGAGGGGCAAGAATAGTAAGGAAGAATTTGAAGACGGAGAGAGACACTCGAGGGAGAAAGAGAAGAGGATGGAGTCGCAGGCGGAGTGGGAAAAGGAGGGGAGGAGAGTGAAAGGGGAACCAGATGAGAAGTACAGTGGAAGACATGGGGGGAGGAATGAGTACAGTAGAGACATAGAGAGGGAGTCAGACGTTGTGAGTGTAGATGGAGAGGAGGTGGGTGAAGTCTGGAGAGAACTAGATAAGAGAGGGAAGGAACTTCTGTCCGACAGCGATGGAGGCATAGAGGGAAGCCGGTGGAGGGATGCAGAGGGAGAGAACATGACAGATAAAAAGGAGGACAGTGGGAGTGAGGGTGGGAGCAACGATTGGGCACGCTCTGGCAGTGAAGAAGGAGGAAGTGAGACAGGGTGGAAGCTAGAGAGAAATAGAACGCTTTCAGGAGAGGACGGATTTGTGACCGTAGACGAGGAAGATGAAAGGGAGGAAGAAGAAGAGTACAAAGACTGTCAGGAATCCTGGGAAAGTGGAGGGTCGTGTGATGGACACTCACCTGTTGATTTTAAGGACGTTAACGAGAGGGAAGAAGAGATGGATGATCGAGAGGGGGAGGGGAGGGAAAAGCAGCCAAAGTTTGTCTTCTGTGTGATTGGGCAAACGTTGCCCCGGTCAAAGGCAAAGGACATGTCATCATCACAAGTTCATGAGAAAAAGGGAGTGGAAAGAGATGACACCACACGACAGGATGACATGAATCCGACCCTGAGCAGAAATGACGACAACCCGATCGTCAACAGCCAGGGCGCAGAAACATCTGACATCAGACACAGACTGTCATCAGATCGTCAAACTGCAGAGACTGGAGAAGGAACCAAGAGCAAAGTGGAGAATCCTTATGAAGAAATTGGGACCATTAAAAGAGACTCACAGACTGAAAGGCTCCTCATAGAGTGGAGAGAGAAAAACAAAGAAGGGTTGGAAAGAGAGAGCGAGAATATTTCGCCAATGCCATCTAATCCCTACGCTGACACTTTCTCTCAAGTGGATTTCGAGCAAATTCAACCAATCTTGGAAGGACTCAACACTGCAGCGATGAGTCCGGAGGAAGTGGAGGCCATTCGGATCCGAATGAGCGGCGCGTGGAGCATGTCTGAGGAGCCAAAGCGGCATTCCCAAGCCCCCCACCTTAAATGGGCTAAAAGTGTGGTGCGGGAAATCCTGGGACGCTCGGAGGAACAGACTTTGGAGGAGCCTACTGCAGAGGTGCGAGAGGAAGAGGTTGAAGAGGTGACTGTTGTGAAGTCAGACCGGGAGCACTCAGAGCCCGAGCTGGAGGAGGAAGAGGAGGAGCCGTTGGAGGTGGAAGAATTGAGAGGTATGGGGCAGCACCGAGCCGACATGCATGCTGACCAGTTCTCGGCTATGCATGGTGACACATCCACATACACTCACTCTGACACACTGTTAGAAACAGGAAGGAAGGAGGAACACAAAACGGACCAACAGGCTGAAGAAAAGACAGATATAGAGATTGAAATTAGTGAAGAGGTGGGTGATGAAGATAGAATGCAAGAATTAAGGGACCGAGCAAAAAGAAAGAAGGAAGTGGAGATGTATTTATCTGTGAGCAACACGCTGTACAAGCCGAACAGCTGCCCCATTCTAAACTATGACACGGAGTCTGACCACCTTTCCTGTAGAGAGGATGAGGAGCAGGAGGTAGCAGAGAGAATAGAGGGGAGTGAAGAAGAAGAAGAAGAGCAGGGAATAGTGCCAGACGAGAAGGGTGCAGCAGTTGAGGAGGAACAGATTAAGGAGGGAGAGGTTTTAGTAGACGGGGAAATAAATGGCGGAACGCTGACCAGCAGCTGCAGTTTCCGAGATTTGGGTCCTGAGGCTCGATTACGGAGAAGGGGGATCCGTAAGACCACTCAAAGAAGAAACGGAGAGCTTGTAGAAGTGGAAGGAGAGGAAGGAGAGGAAGGTGTTGGAAGGGATCGCAGAACCAGAATATTCTCGACAACAGGTAAAGAGTGGAGATGGAGGATTAAAACACTGGCTTTTAATCAGTTCCAGAAATCAACATAACTGCCTAATCTTTGACTTCAATGGTTCATTTCTTTCTAGTTTCTCTTTTCTGTTGTCGAATCAGGTTGACTTCCTTCAGCATCGATTGCCCACAGAGGATGTTTAAAAAAACAAACTCTAAATGAGGTCAAAACACTTCATTCGTGTGATTTCCTCCAATCACAGACAATCTTCCAGTCATATCATCTGTTTTGCAGTGCTTGAGATTCTTGCATCATTTTGTTGTTACATCAACACAGAAGCCAAAATCTCAGACATCTGCTAGTGAACTTGTTCAGTGGACTCACTACTTTCCCCTAAACTGGAAATTGCGTCACACTGTTGTGGTTACAGGTAGTGGGTGGAGAGAAGTGGAGGAGGGGAGAGCAAAGAGAAACAAGTAACATGAGCTAAAAGGCTCGGCTTCATCCTGATATGAGACATTACATGAGACACACGAGTTTAGGAAACACACTAATCTTTTCTGTAATCCTGATTTTAACTGGGTTTCTGGGTTAACCAACTTTTATTTAATTTATTAAGCCATATTTATATGTTTTTGTTTTTATTCATTTTTAATTTATTCAAACCGTCACTGTAGTTCACCGACAGGTATGCTTTTGTGTGACATTTCGACAAATGTATACTTTTTTATTCCAGACGAAGACGATCGGAGTAAAAGCTGGGGAGAAGTTGAGCTGAGGTGAGAGAAAACCTTCTCAAATAACACCTTAAACTGTTAAACAGCCAACATGTTAAACTACATTGTGTACAGTTCTCTTTAATGAAATGCGTGTCCCTGAATATAACAGTCGTTGTTAATGGTGGGATAATGCTACATTTCTGTTGTTCAGAAAGACATTTTAAATCACCTAGAAGAGTTGTTTTTCTGAAAATTAAGAGATCCTAAACTTAAAAAAAAGCAGTCTCAGACAGATTTTACTGATGTAAACAAAATGCTGTTGTCACTCTTTTTTTGCATTGTAGGAATGTTTTGGACACAATCGACAGGCGGAAAAGGAACTCAAGGTTTTTTAGTGAGTATCTCATTTTTACATTTTAGTATTGTTTGTTTCAGGTCATGCACCTTCTAAAAGTACAAATGCTGGTATGGATGACTTTTAAAAATTTGATTTTGACGCTTTAATATTATTTTCAAGTATATATTTTTGTTGAGAATATTATTTTTTGGCGTATTTCTTGACTTCACTGAATAGTGACAGCTTAAAACAGACTGTTAATGTAGAATGGAGAGTGGGGATAGCGTGCACCATGTGACTCATTTGGAAGCTTTACCGTGTTGTTTCAGTCTCAATCTTAAGAATGTTCATTTGAAAAAAGGATATGTAGGCGACCCAGTGACGCTCCTTCAGATCTTATCTACTCTGGCTGAGATCAGAAAAAGCGTGACGTGGTTGAACATTTCCCTTTAGTCTGCATGATTCATCCATGTGTTAATACATCCTCACTAACTGTTTATCTCTAATGTTTGCTCAGAGTTGAAATGCAACACACAATTGAATAGAAATCTGTGCTCACTTTACAGTTGGCTCACACCCTTTCAAAAATGAAACTTTAAACAAGTTTTATGGCAGTGGCTTACTTGACCTATGATTCACGTTGATATTGCGAGAAATGGGACAGGAGTGTGTGCGTATGTTGAGTGTGTCTGTGCAAGCCACAGACAGGTTTGTGCAGGCAATCATATTCTCTAACTTCAAGGAAAAACAGCTGCTGCTGCAACTTTGCATTCCTACAAGTACGTGTAAAAGGAATGTCAAGTGCAAACAACTTCCCTTGGCTAAAAGTGATCCTGTCTGTAGCTCTCTGCTTGTCTTTGCTTCCTGTTGTATTCAATGATTTTCTGTTGCTACCTCTTCTGTTGTGCTGTCTGTCTTTCTTTAACTTCTTCTTGTCCTCCTAGATGCTGCCCAGCTCTACCAGCAGTACAGTGAAGCCGCTCAGAACTTTGAGATCCTGCGCCAGGCTCGCTCCTCAGATGCCATCTCCATTTGTGAAGACCTCTCGAGGTCTCCTGCTCCCTCGCCTCCTCCTGCCCACAGACCCCTACCTCCACTACCTACCTTGCCGCACCTCCACTCCGTGTCCCACACAGCCTCCATCACCAGTATTAAAAACTTGCCTCTCCCCGAGCCCCCAAAAAGAGAGGGCAGGCCTTCCTCCCCACGTCTGTCCATCTCTCTCAGCAAGACGGCCACACTGTGGAGGGAGCTGCCGGGCGTTACAAACACCACTGAGCTGGAGGATCTTACAGAGGACCAGAGACGACTACAGGAGGTATAAAAAAAAAAAAACAGACTTCTGCACTTGTGAAAGTCAAAAAATGTAGTTTTATTGCAGAACATTCTTTAAACAGATGGTTAGAAGAACTTTGCCTTCCTTTTCGCTGAATTTTTGGAGGCCAGAATATTTCTACAGTGATATCAATAAACACAGCCTTTAACTTTAAATGAGCACGTCTGATCTAATCCAGATCTAATGTCTAACAAAGAACAGGCAGCATTATGTAAAGTCCCACACAAGTAATACTGAGGTAATTCCTGTCTATGACTAAAAGACTGACTGTGTACTTTGACTTGTTCTGCACTTCACATTTTTATCAAGCTTCTATGAAGAACTTTAGATTTGATTTCACAAAGATTTTTGACCCGTAAAGCCAAAATAGTTCCTTTTATGTCCGTTAAATATCCAACAGAGGAATGAAAAGCAGAAAGGTTTGTGCTTCACTTTTTTCTTGCACAGCACTGTTGTCTTAATAAGAACAGGATCCTCCAGGCAAGCAAAACATGCAAATACGTGTTTCCTTCAGCTCCACTTATCTGTTCACTTTAATGTGCAGGAGTTTCAGGTAAAATTTACTCAATCACAGTTTCAAGTCAATCACCGCGCCATGCTTTTTTCCTCTTTTTTTTAACGAATCGTTTGGACATTATTTTTAGGTTATGTTTTAGGTTATTAACTGGAAATGGTGTGATTTACATGATTCAGCTTCAGACTGTTATTTCATCACACCTCTTACTACGTAAAACATACGATATATATATATACAGGCTTGCATCATTGCAGAATAACCCTCCCATCAGTGTTTTGTTAAGTAGAACAGTGTCAGGAAGACAGGATTGAGTAAAGATCTTGTGTTTTCCTGTAACTGTAGGTGTCTACTTGTAAACTTTGAAACAGACACTTGTTTTGGCTGCAACCCTTCTGCTTATTGTGAAATCTCCTCTATTAGTCACATCCTTGACAAAAGGTCCCAGATTCCAGAGAACTGAAAAACTGAAAAAATATTCTTTCATGTATCGCTCTGCTTTTTTTCCCCTTTCTAGGTGAGATTTGAAGTAGTGACCTCAGAGGCCTCCTACTGTCGCAGTTTGGACATCGTTGTTGAACATTTTGTCAAGTGCAAGCAGCTGGGGGCGCTGTTGTCCACTCAAGACAGGAACTGGCTGTTTTCCAGGCTGGCTGACGTCCGTGCCATCAGCCACAGGTCAGAAATGTTCCACATTATAGAGAGCCAGTTCTTTATTCAGAGCTAGATCTGCATCAAGATTTCATTAAGTGATAATCAATGCTATTTATGTCACAAAAAAAGAAAAAGATTATTAAATTATCATTGTTTTTTTTGGTTTTAGTTTTTTATCAAAACTGGAAGAACAAGTGGAATCTGACATCATGCAGTTTACTGTGTGTGACATCATCGCTCGCCACTGTCAGCGCTTCAAAATGGTTTATGTGCCCTACCTCACTAACCAGTCCTATCAGGACGCCACCTACCAAAGACTCATGTAAGCTATTCAGTCCAACCTTTTTAAGTTTTCGTTTAAAAAAATTTGTATTTTTGAGGATCCATTTTTTGGAATGTTTGTAAAAGATTGTAAAGAAGCAGGAATGTTTTGTGCATTTATTTGTAATCTCTACTGTATTGTTGAATCTTCACCTTCCATTTTTTCTTTTAATTCCAGGAACAAGAATCAAGGGTTCAAGCGGATTGTGGATAAACTAGAGAGGAGTCCTGTGTGTCAGAGGCTTCCCCTTCGATCCTTCCTCGTCCTGCCCTTCCAAAGAATCACAAGACTTAAGCTGCTGGTTCAGGTGTGTGTGTGTGTGTGTGTGTGTGTGTGTGTGTGTGTGTGTGTGTGTGTGTGTGTGTCAGTGGCCTGTCTAGAACTATCTAATGTTGATTGTTCACAAAAACAATCTCCAGTCTTGTAACCTGTATCTCACTTAGCACGCACTCATTGTTTCTTTGCAGAATATTGTGAAGAGAACAACTCCTGGTACTCCAGAGGCGACTCAGGCCATCAAAGCTTTGAAACTTCTGGAGAAGGTACATCCACATCAGTAACATTTACCAAATACTTCAATATTTATGGAAAAACTTCCTGGATTTTCTTTAGAGATTAACCAAGATTCATGCTTTTCTTTTTTTAGTTGATTCTGGAGAGTAATGACAGCATCACTCAGATGAAGAGCATCGAGTCCCTGGTTACTCTCAGTACTAAGGTGGACTTTGAGTGTAGGGTAAGTAACCACTAACATAGCTGAAGTAAAAGCAGTATAATCAGAATGTGATGATATGGGTATTAAATGAGCTTCATTTAAGGTCCACAATAATTGTAAATAAACTTCCATTATTATCTTTCGTTTCATATGTTCTGTCTATTGGTGTGTTTTACAGACTCTCCCTCTGATCAGTCAGTCTCGGAGGCTGGTGCGAGAAGGGCCGGTCACTGAACTGATGGATTTCTCTCTAAAAGACACAGAGAGGAATATTTACATGCACCTTTTCAATGACTACTTGCTACTCTCACTACAAAAAGAGTAAGTCAGCAAACATGTTAAGTATGTTCAGAATAATCCATCTCTCCCATTATTGTTTTGCTACATCCTGTTTTCCTTCATTTCTGTCGTGCCTTATCATCCCCTCCATCTTATCACAGTCCCTCCTTCCTCCACCTCATTTCTCTTCTTTGCTGCCTGTTTCCTCCAGAGGGGGGCGATTCACTGTGATCGACCATGCTCCTGTATCAGAAGTGCGTGCAGAGAACTGTCGTGTTAAACTCCACTCTCTCCAGAAGAACCTGATCCGGCTGCACATGTCCAACAAGGCCCTGCTGCTCCGGACTGACGCACAGTAAGAGACTGAGACTGTGGCAGAGAGCATCTGAATCTAAAAGTGAAAAAAGTTTGCTAATTCCTTTCTTTCCTTCAGGAGTGATAAGCTACGCTGGATATCGGCTCTTTCCCGGCCACACCAAGAAGTAGATTTTTCTGCTGCACAAGGTGAAGTATTTCATGCATTTTGTAGCTTTAACAACTGGTGCAGTCACATACATGCATACATTTTCACTTAAATTCAGACATTACGGGCGGCTGTGGCTCAGTTGGTAGAGTCGTCGCCTCTCAACCGGAAGGTCAAGGAGGGTTCGATCCCCAGCTGAGCCACATGTCCGATGTGTCCTTGGGCAAGACACTTAACTCTGCATTGCTCCCGCTGCTTCGTGGCAGTGTATGAATGGATTAGTGTTGTACTTATTCTCTGATGTACGTCGCTTTGGATGCTAAGTGAATTGTGGAATTGTAGAATTACTCTATTACTCGTAATCAGTATATCCAAAGTTTAATCCAAAATGTAACTGGACTGGTGTTAGTTGAAGTCCTCAAAGACGTTTTGGCTTGGAATTGCTTCTTCAGTCGTCAAGTAGAAATGTTGATTAGCAGTAGCAGGACCACTGAGAGCCTTCACAGACAGTGATCAGTTAAATGACCTGTGTAGAAAGCAGTAGCAGTTCTTAGAGTGGTCTCGCCATATCTCTTCTCATACTGAAAATATTAGCAGCCTGCTGGAAAAAATAACATGGTGGTGTCAGTCTGGAAATTTCTGATTATGACAAAATCCCCCACACTGCCAAAATAACTGACTACACACCCACTTTCATCTGGTTGCTATACAAATACAACCATATATTATTATTATTATTAGCACGATTTATGCAGTGAATTGAAGTTGAGATACAAACCCTGTATTTGATTTAACCTACTATTTGATGCTTTAAGGTTATTTTATTTTATTCAGTGTGCATGTGAACAACCAAAAGTTGCAAGGACATTTTCTTTTTTTATTACATTCTGCCATCATGAGCATGAATGAAGCATACTATAGAACGGACAAATAACTTGACTGTAGTTTTAAGCCAAATTAAATGTATGAGTCAATTCCAAGTACCTGGTTTGTGTGTGCTACCCCCTGGAGGGATTTAATCAGGATAGTCATCTATGCTGCTCCTCTTAAGTAGTATATATAACAAAATATATATGAGTAAACTCTGTTGAAATTTTCAAAAAATCATGAATGAACAGTGACACTGCTAATAAAAAAGTATTTTGTGTATAAAGTGAGCATAAAATTACATGACTGACTTTTTGACACGTTAACCCCAAATGCAGTTTGTTCTAAAAAAAACCCTAAAAAAACCAAACTATCAGGACCTTAACAAATACATGTTTAAAGACAGCTTTGTTTTTATTACATTTAAGGAGCTTAATAGGGAATGTATATCAACCCCAAGTCATGCTTTCTGTAATGTAAACAATATTACCGCAACTGTAGTGGAGACTCTCACTCTCACTCTCACTGCTAATAGGAAAGAGGATGTCGATTCATCACTGAAATTACATCTCTGACTATGTTTCCATTAAGATGTGATTTTTTTTAAGTCTCAAAAGGCTTTTCACAGTCAGGTGCATGTTAGGTGGAGGGAATGTCATGATAACATGTTTCTATGTATTAAATAGGACAATAAAGGTTGCACCACCTTTGCACATGTAAAAAGAGTTGTCAGACACATTTGTTGACTGCAGGACTGGACAGTGCTGTAAAAACTATTTTCACTCAACTTGTTCATGGTCTTGAAAAATGTAACTTCACTCCCTAAGCATTACTAAATTTTCACTATTTACTTTTTTCTCTGTGTGGTCTTTTATGAGTTTGTAGGTCTGACCTCTCACCTTTTATCTGTACAGATTTTTCACAGATGCAGTGCATTCGAGCCTTTGTGGCTCAGCAGCCTGATGAGTTGTCCTTGGAAAAAGCTGACATCATTCTAGTGCACCAACAGAGCAGTGACCGTAAGACCATCACACTACTTCCCTGGTTGAACGTGTCATTCAATTGTGCAATATTACATTGTAAAACTAACCTGAACCCATCACAGAATAAGCATTGATTGAGTTTGTGTTGGATCGTTTCATCTGTACAGATTGGGTGGAGGGGACCCGCCTGTCTGATAGGCATCGTGGATGGGTGCCAGAGTCCCATTTGGATACGATAAGCAACTCTAGAGTCCGACAACGCAACTTGTCAGATGCTCTAAAACTGACAACGGCCACAGCTGCTGTTTGACCATGACACTCAGACTGGGACTAAACAGAGAGCGACCTGAATGCACCACAAGGATAAGACTGTTATTTTTCTGCAAATGGCTGTAAAAGGGATGACACACATCCAGTGCTCCAAATAGGAATATCTGCTGTAGGGTCGCAACACAGCAGAAATTGAAATGCTGTGAAAGTGCAAGTGAGTGATGCATTGAGTCTCATTTGTTTCACTCACTGAAACAATAAATTGTTCTCGTGCAATGTTTGGAATGCTGAGGTCTGCCTAAAGACAGAAAGAAAGAACATTGTGACTATTAACTGCATACTATGATACATCAATAAACTGGTGTTTTAAAATAATAGTTTAACTTACATTTTAAGCGACTTCTCCTATTCCCAGAAAGGTTAGTTTGGGAAATGTGTTATTATCTGTGTATATTGAACAGGATTAAATGTTGGGTGAATGATGCATGTCTAATGAAGAGTTTTACCAGATGAGCTAACAGAAGCAATGCAAAATGTAAGATGTACAGATCTTTCAAGGTAAGGACATTTCAATAATTTCAGCTTGGTGACAATAAAATCATATTTGAAAAAAAAAAAAAGGCATTCCATGTTAAGAGTGAACTGTGGCTTATTTTCTATAAAAAAAAATGTGTTTCAGACTCGTTTACTAGAGTTGCACGTTGACTACCGTGCGTGTTGCTTGGATTAATTGCATTTGTCTGCAGGAGCTGTTTACAGAACAAAACAAACAACACATGATGAAACAAGGCACTCACGATGCGCACGTAGTCAGTATAAAGGCGTGACCTGGTCCATTTTCAAAGACCTGCTATTGGTTCTAACTGCTGTCACTCACAGAAAACTGGGTGGCAAAAAATGTAAGCTGACACCAAAACTATCCAATAAGAGCACCGTAGTCCTGCCTTTACTCCCTTCTGAATGGACACGTCCCACTGTCAGTGTGAAAACTCGTCTCTGATTGGTCACAGATGTTGTAGGCGGGGTTTGCAGTATTTGTTGTTGTTTTCCTTCAGCAGTAGAACAGTCGACATCTTTGGCATAGAGCGCATTCCCTTTCTTTATAACTGTAATTTCCGCTATTATATGTCAAACAAGAAAACCATTTGGTACATCAGGCAGCCCAAGCGACTAGTGGAGTTTTCTGTATTCGTCCTGTCTTGAGTGAAACTTGTTTTTGTCTTTTTTTAAAAAGGTATGTGAACAGGAACGTCTCTTTGAGGCGTTAGCGTCACTCGTTAGCACTAGTTGCTGTTGTTTTCTAGCATCACAAACATGTTTATTTAGTGAGCTAAGGCTACATTTCATTGTTTTAGTCAAACGGGGAGTTGTCTGAAACGACTCTTTGAAAAGTATAGTGTCGGGCTCGGTGGTTTCGTGTAAAGCAGACCGAGGAGGTATGCGTTAGTGGTCCTGATTCAGTGGTGTTCATGTGACGTGGCCTCAGTCCACGATGACCCAGAAACACGGTGACCTCAGATACTGATGTCTCCTAACCACAACCTTTTTTATTTTATTTTTTATAGATACGCTTAAAAAACGGGAAATGTGTTTCACTTTCGGGAGTGGCTGAACACTAAGTGTGATATAATGTGGGCGAGAGTTTCAGTTTTCTGTTTATTTCAGCATTATCACTGGTTATAAACAGTGCGCACAGCAGCAGTGGTTTAGGGGTATCTGATGTAAAGTAATGCGGATGTTTTGATAAAGTGTTCATTAAAACTACAATTTCTGACTATATATTTAATCTTCAACCATGTTATACACATTTTATATATTAATAATAATAGTAATAATAATATTAATAGTATTAATCAAGTGTTTTGGGGCAAATCCTCTGAAATTATTTAAAGCTAAAATATGAATAAATATAGGAAAGTATGTAAGTCAAAAATCTTCTCATACGAAAACTGGAATCCAAGAATGTTTTGCATTATTTTCCTGTTGTTTGATTAAAATGTAATTGAAAAAGTCAAAATAAAAGCAAATATTTTTTTTTCTGCCTACACAATAATTTACTCTTCAATACAAACATTGATACGATCAATGTATTTCATTATACTGCTGACAAATCCTGTTTTCCAATAATGTTGTAAAATAGTCCAGCAATGATAAGGGTCCCTGCTAACTTTATACAAACCGATATATGGAGATTTTTCTTTGTGTAAGCAATAGTGCAATATCCGATGGCAAATGCATATTCTCAAAACATCCAGTCCTAATATGGCCTCAGCAGAACACTTCATGAAAAGATGCCTCCATCTCATCGTGCAGCAAACAATGATGTGCTCTTCAGGAGGTCAATATCACTTGTTGCCTGAATGCACTGGTTGGTGAAGTCAGCCAGTGCTCTCTCTCCTTTGTCTTCTTGGTAAATAATGCTATTGTGAGGGACTTCATGTTATCTGGGGCTGTTTTCAGATGGGCAGTCAGTACCAGCGCTCAGTACCACTAGAGGTGAGGAGAGCAGAGGGAGAGAGAGTTCGGGCCAAACATCCTGACAAGATACCGGTAAATATGACAATCAGATCAAAGATGAATGTACTGTTAGTGAGCTGTAGTGAATGAAACTTTGTGATGAAATGATGTTTGTAGTCATGGTCTTCTAGTTTTTTTTATTTTAACACCATTCTTTAATGATTAAATCTCAGTTTAAAACTTAGTTCTTATGATGACTTTAATTGTTGTTGAATCGATTATTTGCACATAGATACAGCCCCTCTTTTTCACGAGGATTAATTTATTTTTGTTCTTTTTTAACCAGATCATTGTGGAGAGGGCCTCGAGGTCAAGAGCTCCTGAGCTGGACAAGAAGAAATACTTAGTGCCCTCAGATTTAACAGGTATTACACAAATGAACATGCAACATAACTTAAACCCTTTCGTGTATCTGTCAAATTACATCAAATGTCTCACAAACTACCCAGAGGTCACATATTTCTATATTCAGCCTCCCAGAGCTTTCAGAATCTAAAGACAAGGTGGCTCTGTTTGACATGTGAACTGTCTTATTGATGAGTGTTACAGCATGACAGATTAGTTGTTCTGACCCTTACTGAGATCATGTTTGGAGGGAAAAAATTGTTATACAACCAATGAAATACGTGGGCCTGACACACAACATAAACAGACAAAAATTGTCGGTGCTCTCTGTTTGACAAAAGATGAAATTGCTGTCACTAAATGTTTTTTACATTACAATCTAAGTGAATACCTGATTTCTAAATTGAGTTCCTTAGATCAGCCATACAATATACAGTATTTCTCCTGGCCACCTGTGACTTTGACAATACTGCTTCAGGTTAATTTCTTCAGCAAGCGTCCAGCTAACAAACAATGAGCAGTCGTGCTGTTTGTGATGCATGTGGCAGCATGACAGTTCCATTAGAATATCTACATCTTACAGACACACCTTTTCTTAGCTGTGGATGAATAAACCCTTTTTTCACAGACGTTTCGTGACATCATAACAGGAAAAGCAGGAAAGTATTCTGCTTTTCCTGTTATGATGTCACGAAACGTAAGTATTTAAAACATTATAGATTGTTACATTCTAATTAGGATGTGTCCTATTGCTCGTGTCTGCTCATGAGTCGATGTTATTTATTCAACATTTGCTTTTTCTGCTGCCACAAGTACAAAATCTCTGCTATGAAAATATCTATGACATAGAAACATTCAAAATGTTGCTTTCATTACTTCTCGGAAGACACTGATGTTAGCTGTCTTCTCCTACTAAACCTTTTTTCCTGTCCCCATGTGACCAGTGTACTGGTCATGCCCTACAGTTTCTTGTTTTCTTCCTCTCCACATCAAATGAAACTGGAGATCCTGACACTTGCTGACCACCTCACTCTCGTTCTCTGCTTCCTTTTTTTAGTGGGCCAGTTGTGCTTCCTGATCCGTCAGCGGGTGTCTTTGAGACCGGAGGAGGCACTCTTCTTCTTCGTCAACAACTCCCTCCCCCCATCCAGCTCCCCTCTCTCTGCTGTGTATGAGGTAACCGCGGTCTCCTACTGTGCACCCATGTTCACTTGAGAATCACCAGCATGAGTACAAACATAATTACAAACAGCCTCATGAATGCTCTATATCAGATTAACAGACATTTTTTTTTTAAACCTTCCTCATTGACACCCAAAATGTCCCCACAGCCACGTATGAGCTTAGAAAGCATTATTGCTTCCCTTTTTTATTTCAAGACTGACTGTAAACTAGACAGAAACAGAAAGAAAAAAAAAGAAGCTTATCCGCTTGATGAATAATCATTCTGAAAGTGAAATAAACAACAAAAAACTGCAGCTAACAGAAGAAAGAGTTTGTGAGATGAATTTATGTTGTTGTTTTTTTTTAAACCCTGCTCATTTTATGAGACATTTTTATATATAACTTTTCCACCTTAGCTCTAATATCAAAATGTACAAGTTTGGGTTGGTATCTGGAGTAATAATGGGGTTCTGTGGGTGCAGGTCCATGTGCACAAACTTAAGTAAACGTGTTACTGAAGTTACTTAACTTACATTATTCTCTGCTCCTGTTTTTCTCCAGGAGCACCACGAAGAGGACCTGTTCCTCTACATGACTTACAGTAATGAGAGCGTGTACGGTGCCTGAGGGAGGACAAAAGACCAGAGAAAGAGAGAGTGCAAGAATGAGAGGAGAAAAAGTGAGACAGTCTGAGGAATAAAGTGTTAAGGCTGTTTGTAATGCTTCAAGCCACTATTATTCTTTATATTAGGTTATGATAAGTAACTACAGTGCAGGTGGATTAAAAGGCAGAGGGGCTGAACATGGGTTTACCTTTGACAGTATTTCAGGGTGAGTGTAATAAAATGTAGTACCCTTGTAGAACATGACAGGTTCTGATGATTCCTTACTTGGTGAAAGAAGAAACAGGAAGCATGAATAAAAAGGACAAAAAAAAAAGCATCGTAAAATTATGTTGATGGGGGCTCTCGTTATCTTTCTCAGTCATCTGTATTTAATGCAAATAGTATTTTGTTTTTGTAAATTAATATCATAAACTTTTGTGGAAAATAAAAATGAAAATGCATAAAATATTTGTGATGATTTCATATCATGTAAATATGAATGTGAATGTTTGCATGCCTCAAGTTTCAGATGTCAACACAAAGACAGAACTCTTATTTTAATCCGAACATTTTCATTGTAAGACTTTTATGATCAATTTTCTAATCCTTCAGGAAGATTCATGTGTGATGTTTTTATATATTCTGCTTTTTTAGAGCAGAGAGTGGTACATTTGAATCACAATAGTGGTCATTACAAATTATAAAGAATATGAAGTAATGTCAGATGAAATTCAGACACTCTTGTAGCGTAATTAAATTATTAGATGTTATATCTTTATTTAACCTCGGATTTAAGAAGGGGCACCACTTCCTGTTAAAGGAAGAAAATAACTTTAATGGTATAAGTTAATTAATTAATCAGTCAGTTTCATATCTTGAAAGAAGTAAGTTCTGGAACAAGAAAACAACATGTTAAACAAGAAAACACAAAGTCCTGAATTTTATGTGTAAAATTTTATATAAAAGGGGTAAACAATAATGTATAGATGAAACAGATA